CCTCCCCAGGGTGGGACAGGAGTCCTGGCTCAGCCGTGGTGCCACCCAAGGAGCGTGAGGAGGGCTGACAGAACAGCCTGGATCTGGACCTCTCAGGCTGGGTTCCGATTTGGGTTTTGTGCTGCTTTCAGTGAACTATGAAGGGGCAGAGGGGCTAGCTAGCAGGTAACCCCTGAAGCTGAGGTTGCAGCACTCTGGGGAGGTTACTCGTAGCGGCTCCCTGGGTCTGCATCTCCTAAATGAAGGTGCAGGCACCCTAATAGAGCAGGCCCTTTGGGAGCAAGTCACGGGGGCTGTGCCCCCAAGAAGAGCTGAAAAGGAAGTGGCTGGGTGTGTACTTTGCCCTCAGGTGGGAGCTCGTTCCAGTGCACGCCCAGAAGAGCACACTGAAGAAGGGGAGGGGCAGGGATTCTGCCGGTATCTCATCCAAGGCTCACCTGCTAGAATCCAGGTGAGAGCACACCTCTGGACCTCTCCAACCACAGGCGACTTCTGATGTCACACCAAAGCACCTCCTGTTAATCTGCAGAAGCTGTCATTCCCAGGGAGGCCCCAAAGGGCTGGAGCTTTGTCTACACTAAAATTCAGAGTAAGCTCCCAGTTTACAGACTGATCAGCTGAAGGAGTTAAGAAAAGGATCAGGTGGCACAAATCCATGGCCTTGGTCTCTAGAAAATCAATGCCAGTCAGACACAGCGGCACTCACCTATAATCTCAGCACTGAGAGAGGCTGAGGCAGGAGGACTGCGGAATCTGAGTCCCACTTGTGCAATTTAGCAAGCTCTCGTGTTAAAATAAAAAATCTGGCGGTGTGTAGCTCAGAGGCAGACCCCTGGCTCTAGGGGATGGACAGGTCAGAGGGGCTGGGGTGGAGCTCAGGGGCAGCGGGGAGCAGGAGGACTTTGTCCAGCACAGGGTCAGCTGATGTCAGGGGTAAGACGGGAACCATGGCAAGATAAAAATAAATTTATGATTCATAACCAAATGCACCCAGCCTTCCTCGATTTGCATAAAGCTGCAGAAAAGAACATGCTTGAAACAGCTAGAGATACACAAACAAAGGCTGCGAGAATTGAGACAATCCTGGAGTTATTATTCATTCTCCTGTTGTTCTCGGGCTAAGGAAAAATATGTCTTTCTTTTTCAGAGATCTATGTGGAACTGCCTAAGGGTAAAATGTCACACAGTCTACTTTTACCTTGCCATACCTGAGATCTGTACTGCCTTGGAACAAGCCAGGCTTCCTGTCTTACGGTTTTCATTTAAATGTTTTATACAATTAGAAAATGAAACTACATGATCGTGACGTGCCCATGTACCAATAAAATTTAATGAAAAAGGAAAAAAATAACAAAATAGAATTTAAACATTTTAAATGACTACAATCAAAAGTGGAATAAGGAAGTTAACTCTAAACATGATTTTCAGTAACTTTTAAAACCCAATGTTTTGACCATAAATACAGTGGTCCTTTGGTTCATGAACTTGATTTGTTTCCCCATTTTGGAAAAGATGGCCATGTCTGTGTTTGTGTGGGAAAGATGGTCACAGCGGTGTTTCTCACCTGAGGCAGTTTGCAAACAAAAAGTCCTGCCAAAAGCTTCTGTTTGAACCAAAATGTTTGCAAACAAAAGTGTTCACAACCCGAGGTGCCTCAGTTCACATCCTTAATTCTTCAATTCGGTTCTCATCCAGTTCAGTCTGTGACCGGAATCACGGCAAGAATTAGGTCTGTGAACTAAGGCAAAACCGTTTTCATGGTCAAAACACCGAGCTTTAAAAGTCACTGAAAATAATCCTTTCCTGGGTCATTCATGTGCCACTGTACTTGGTATCTGGACAAAAAAGGACAATAAAATTTAAAATTGATTTCAGCATTGCTACAAATAATCATGACACTGTGATTTGAAAGCATTAACAACTTACTTGCTTTTTCCCATTATACATGTGTGTCACACATTGTAAGTGTTTGTTACATGACATATATAGCATATCACACACAGTAACAGGAAAATAATAGGTTTCTGGGGAGAAGTGTGTTTTTGAGACAGAGTTTCACTCTGCAGTTCAGGCTGGCCTCAAACTCGCAGCAATCCTCCTGCCTCAGTCTCCTGAGTGCTGGGATTACAGGCAAGGCAAATAATTATATTAATGTCATCAGGAACCAAGATTTTCAGCTAAGAGAGAGGAGACAAATATAAAAATCAAAGAAATTTCAGAAGCCTACAATTTTAGTTGGGCATGGTAGCTCATGAGGCTGAGGCAGGTGGATTGCAAATTCAAGCCCAGTCTAGGTAACTCAGTGAGACTCAGGCTCAAAATTAAAAACAAAAATTAAAAAAGGTTGTAGTATCGTACGAAGGCCATGGTTTCAACCCCCAAAACCAGGTTTTTCCTCTGCAAAGAGGCAGAAGCACTGACAAATTCAGGCAGCGAGGGCCGGGGATATGGCTCAGCAGTCTAGCGCCTGCCTGGCAAGCGTGAGGTCAGGAGTTCGATTCCCTATAGCAAAAACCAATAAACAAAAAAGGCCATGAGCTTGGCGTCCCGTCCGGAAGAGCAGCTGCTAAACAGTGTGTTCCTGGGAATTTTATTTGTTTACTTTTTCGCTGATGCTGGGCTTGGAGCCCCAGCACCTCACAGCTGCTTGGCAAGGGGCTGACCACTGAGCCACAGCCCCAGCCCCAGCTTGGCAGAGCTTACATATGGGCACTCTCAGTCCAAAGGACTCCACACCCAGGCAGAGGCCGCTCCCGGGGCAAAGAGGGGACCATGTGAGCCACTAAGGAATAACTGCAATATAAAGAGATAAAATACTCAAAATCCCCTCATTTGAAATGATGCTGAAAATAAAAACACACTAGACCTCGGGAGGGTCCTGGGGCAAAAATTTGTCGCTTTGAAAAGTGTATAGAAAGACCATGGATCTGGTTTTGCCATCAAGTTGTATTTTAAGGTGATGAAATAAAGTAACTCTAACACATGCAGAAGAAATGTAATCAGAGGACAACCATATCTCCCGCCCCTTTTTGGTTTGTTTGTCTGTGTCAGATAGGGTCTTACTATGCAGTTCAGGCTGGCCTTGAACTCACTATATGGCCCAGGCTGACTTCCAACTCATGGCAATCCTCCTGCCTCAGCCTCCCGAGTGTTGGGATTACAGGTGTACCACCACACCTGGCTGAAAACAACTATTTTTTTTCACTCACAACTTAAGGAATGACAGTGAAATGGGAATTTATAATGGATGAATCCACTGACAATCTGAACATCACAGAGAAGCCAGGAGGAAACAAGTACACACAGCACAAAACCGAATCTGAATCTAATGAAGCTTTTAGAATTAACAATGAACAGAAAAATATAGGAAACACTGGAATATTTAAGCATCATCACTAGGTACAATCAACCAGTGGCAGATTGTAGAAAAGCCTGGAGTACCATTTTCTTTTCCTTTCTTTCTTTGTTTTTTGTTCGTTTTTTGAGACAGAGCCTTGCTGTATAATTCAGGCTGGCTTTGAACACATCGCAATCTTCCTGTGTCAGCCTCCCAGGTGCTGGGGTCACAGGTGTGTGCCACTGTGTCTAGCAAGAGAACCATTTTCTTTACCAAGAGGATATCAAGCAAACAAAGACCACAAAGGATAAGAGTTCACAATTGAATAATTGAAGAGACAGAGTCACCAGGTGCAACTGTGGACCTTGTTTGGATCCAAAATGTTAAAAAAAGAGAGAGAGAGAGAAAGAAAGAATAAAAGCTATAAAAAAGGATTTACACAGCCATCATGAAATTGCAATGCTGAAAATATTAGATGGATAATAAAAGAATCCTCTTTTCAGTGGCAGCACTGGGGATCAAAGCCAGGGCCCTGCACATACTAACCGTATGCTCTATGACTGAGCTCTAACCTTACCCCAATAGTTACCCATTTTTTCTGGGGTGCTAAGGTGTATCTGTCAGATGTATACATTAGTAACTGAAAACACAGGCACCAGCTGTCTAGGATTTCCTTCAAATAAGCAAGTAGGGCAAGAGGAGAGAAGAGAAAACAGGACTGACCATGTGCTGAAAACAGATGATGGATACAGACAGGTGTATTGTACTATTTGTGCTAATTTTGTAGATGTTTGTGAATATCCTTAAAAAATTTTTTTTAAAAAGGCTTAAAATTTTTAGGGTCAGGGATACAGCTCATCAGCCCAGCGCCTGCCTGGCAAGCACAAGGTCCTGAGTTCAGTTCCCAGTACCCCCCTACTCACCCAAAAGAGATTTTAAAAAGAAAAATTTAAAGTGATGGCTACAAATATCTAGGATAAAATGATTCTGTTGAGTACTTGGGGGACACAATGGCAAGCGTCCAATTATAAGTGAAGGGAAGCCAGGTGCTCACACTCCCCGTCCTCCGCATTTGTAAACATTCACAGCAATAAATAAATCCAGCCAACACTCGGAATGGGTCAGGTTAAATGGATTACGAAACACAGCTACCTACACTGGCATCTACAAGTAATAACCTCAGAAATTCAAAGCAGATGATAAAAGTGTATCCTGAAAGTATAAACTCCAAATTCTAAATTATTCAAGAAAGAAAACACAGGACCCGGAGGAAAGCAATGCAGTGGACACTTCCTCCTCCTCTGATATACAGCATCTCCTACTCCCTGGGCAGCCATGTGGAAGAGAGATGTTTGTACAACTGCCATCCAGGGGTTTGGGGGCATCTTTTACCCTGCTGATCCCAGAGGTCTGGCTGGTACCATGTGCCCTAATGCTTTAACACCGTAAGCAAGAGGTACATAAACAGGCAGCCCATGGAAACAGAAAGCTTTTATGAGCTGGCATGGCTTTGAGGTAAAGCCAGGCAGAGCAGCCAATATGATTGATACTCAGACATACTCCACAGCCTCTGACATCAGCAGCTATTGCAAAACTAGTCCCTCTGGGGACCGTGGGCACGACATCCTCCGTTTCTAAGGTTAGGCAGGGCTCCTTGTCATACCTGATGATGACACACTGGTTCTCCCTGTCGATGATCATGTTTCTGTACATACTGTCCGCGAGGGCATAGATATGGGGAGGGTTTTCATACTGGGCCTAGAAAGGAAAAACAATGGACAAACGAAACTGTGATTCGATGGAGCAACACACTGAATTTCTTCTCTTGGCCTTGGAAAGGAATGCACCACTGTCTGGTCGCAAGGTCTACAATTGCATTGCACGAGCTGCATGACCCAGGACCACAAAATCCCCTAGGTGATGACGTTACACCCTGGGAAAGCTAGGATGAACTCTGCAGAGCTCTTCTACAGGCGCATGCGTGTGAGTCTGTCATTAGACATGATCTGTGACTCAGATTCCCCGATAGCACGCCCTTCCCCATAGGCACACCTCCACGGGGGTGGGGACCACATTCCACCCCAGTGCTTCTGGGGATCCATGACAGGTGAAAGACACAACTGCCAATCATCTGGCATCTTGGCACTTCAACTCGAACTCCAGGATCCTATGTAATCTTTTCTAAGCCTGAAAGCCACAGATTCTGGGCTCTCAGAAGGAACCGAGTCTAGGTCTGAGGAGGAGAAGCACTCTTTTCTGGGAGAAGAGGGTGGGAGGTGTGGTTCTTTAGCGGGACAAACTGGTTTGGCCAGCTTGTGACAGCTTCATTGAGAAAACCCTACTGAAGAAGGACAGTCAGTACCCTGGGCTTGGGACAGTGGCTCTGAACTGCTGATCTACTCATAAATACAAAAGGGAACCAACTGGGCCTGACAACACTCTCCTAGAGGATCACCTTGAGTTCAAGGCCACCTGGGCTACACAGTGAGATCAAGGCCAGCCAGAACTATTATGGAGAGCCTGTCCCAAAACCAGCAAGCAAACACCCTAAACTGTTCTCTCAGCTTGGCTTCAGCCTGTCTGTTCAGTTTCTTGGCATCTACCTTCACTGCTCCCTCAAAAATCACCAAAAAGAAAACTACTTATTGTGGCTGCGTAGCTTGAAAAAAAAAAAAGGCTTCTTAAATTGAAGGTGAGTGCACCTAACAGTGGAAAGAACAGCAGACGCAGAGTGAGAGACATCTAGACCCCGTCTTCCTCCATCTGCACTGACGACAGGGATGCAGGGGCCCTGGATCCCACAGGTGATGGACAGGGGTGGGAAAGGCATTGGCAAAGCCAAGCAATACAGAGAGCAGAAGCATGACCTCGTCCAAAGTCCAGTCTCACTGTGCGACAGGAAGAGGTGCCAGGCTCTGTGAGATCCGAGCTCCGGCCGAGCTCACCAGGGCCAAGCAGGAGGCCTCTCCCAGGATGGCCCCCAGGAAGCACACGCAGCACAGAGACTGTGTTACCCGTCTCACAGGCAGGCGGGCACCTGGGCAGGCCTCAGGACTTAAGTGTAAGGCGGGCTGTGCACGGTTACTTCAGTGCTTCAAAACAGCAGAGGATTTTAAGAAAAGAGAACAGAAAATGGGAAGAGATGCACTGATCACCACTAGTAACAGGAAAGGCCCAAGCCGGTATCATTGAGGAAAGTTTGAAGGCAGCTTGGTGGAACTGACAGTCAGCCTCTAGGTGTCATCCTGGGTCTCTCAAATTCACTTTCCACCCCAGCACCCCTGGGCCGCTAATGACCTGGGAGAAGTGGAGAGTGGGCCTTCCCCCACCTAATTCCTCCCTCCCAACACCCTGAGCATCACGAAGACCTGACTTCAACCTGAACTCGGCAGATTCCAGTACTTCAATCTGAGCCTTGGGTTTCCTCATCTGTAAAATGGGTTTAAACAGAGAGGAGGATTCGGCCAGTACCAGCCTGCTTTATTACTGTTGCAAACACACATCCGGTAAACAGTGATAAGCACTAATTGTACAATACTGCTATCTCTCTTGTTTGCCTGGTTTTATTTATTGGAGGGATTGTTTGGGTTGTTTATTTGTTTGTTTTTAAACACAGGGTCCTGCTATGCAGTTTAGGCTGGCCTTGAACTCACTCCCGAGTGCGTGCCCAGCTAACACTATTTCTTAACAATAAAAATAAATTTTTTCACAAACTCTACAACACCTCAACAGTGAGAACTGTGGGAAAGACAGGTGAGCTAACGGGGCCTCTGCAGCCAGCCCTCCCAGAGACCTGGAAAGACTCCCCCACCATGCATAGCGCCTCGGCTGTCCCCAAGGAGGATGCCAGGCCAGCTCCGTGCCTGCCGCGTGCCTGCCGCCCCAGGCTGGCCGATAGGGACCAGGGCAGGGCCTGGCAGCTGACAGTGTCTCCCTTGTGCTGGGCTCCCATAAAGGCAGCATTATCAAAGGTCTCTGGCCTGGCAGCCTCCCTGGGTCCAGCGCTGACACTGTCTATCTGCTGCCTCCCACGGCAGCCCCCACAATGTGGGGGGCTCACCATCATGCCTCCCAGGTTGGGATCAATGAACGTGCCTTTCTGCTGCGTGGCAGAGAGGACGGGGAGAGGAAAAGGAAAAGGAAAAAGATGCCACAATGAGCAGCCACAGGGCAGTGCTGACCCCGAGGCTCCGGCCAGGGCGGGGTGTGAGCAGGGAGCTGGGCCACATTAGCAAGTGAGGTTGAGACGGAGTCCCAGCCACAGCTTCCTAGACCAAATCCAATCGCCCTCCACTGCTTCTCACCCATTGCTGCTCTTTATTCCTGGAACCCTGCAGCTCACGTAGGAACAGAACAATCCCCCAACTGTGGGCCCCAAGTCCCACGCCACTAATGCTGACCATACATAAGGCTCGAATATGAGTTGATCCTGTGCTCCTTTCTCTACGTCCTCCTTTATCTGTCCGTTACCGGAGCCTCCCCCATTAAATAATTCATGAGAAAATACAAATGTACTGTCAGCATCAAGGAAAACTATTACCGCGTCCTAAAAGCCCTGAACACAGCAGTAATCTATAGAGTACATAACTTACCGCTCCTTGGTACATTTCAATTTCTTTTTCCCCAAAGTACGGCATCTGCTTGAAAGGGTTGACAGAGATCAATACGGACCCTATATATGTCTGCATTGAAACCCGGTTAAGGTCCATCGTGAGTCTTCAGAGAAACACAATTTCACCAAGCGCACACAGTGACCGCCCAAATGAAAAGCTGTATGTTTGTTTTCTAAATGATTAACACACACAGACAACAGCCATCACCCAACAAGCTCCAGCCTCCGTTTCCTCAGGAGGGACAACAGGTTTAATTGCCAAAGTGTGACACAAAGAAGTCATTATTGTAAATAAATGAAGATGCTGTCTTTCCAGACCAGTAACCTGTGAGGCCAGGAAAGGACACAGAAGAATGGCCAAGGAGCCATGCAAAGCCCAGCTCCCCTCCTTCCTCTTCTTCCACTGTACAGATTTTCCCACTGGAACTCTATCGCTCAGGCGGACTGAGGACAGATTTACCTAGGTATTTAACAGTCTCGCTTTTCAGAAGCTTTGGGGAATTGAACGATACCAATAAAACACTCCTTAGAAGAAAATTACCAACCAAAATAGGTCAGATAGAAGGGAAGGAGGGATTACTGCTGCTTGGGGCATCCAGGAAGGTTCTTCAGACAGACAGGGTGCATTTACGTTGGACCATAATGGTTTTATATAATACATTTTTATGTGCCCAAGATATTGAAATATTGTAATGTTAAAAAATATTTCCCTTAGTGTCAGACATGGTGGTGCACACCTGTAACAGCTACTTGGGGGGCTGAGGCAGGAGGATGGCAAGTTTAAGCTCAGCTTGGACTATACAGCCAGATCAGTCTCAACAACTACAAAAAACAACCCCCTCTGTGCATCACTGTGCTGAGTGTTTGTGCGGATTGTGTTGCTTGATTCCTCTGTGAGACTCATGAAAGGGGAAAACCACCACTATGGCAATGCCAGTAAACACACACACACATTTGAAACGGTTTCTTTATGCATCTGGGGTTCTGTTTTTTTTTTTTTTTTTTTTCATCTTTTTCCTTTTTATCGGTACCAGGAATCAAACTCATGACTGCCTGCTTGCAAGGAGGGCGCTTATGCCACTGAGCTAAATCCCCAGCCCCTTCTGTTTTGTTTTTGAGACAGGTCCCTGATTAAGGCTAGGTTTGCCTCACACTCCTGGGCTCAAGCGATTCTCTGGTCTCAGCCTCCCAAGGGCTGGGACCATGGGCTGGTGCCACTGAGCCCAGCTCAAGTTGTTCTTGTAAACATTTGTTTTTTTCTTCCTTTTTTGAGACAAGATTTTGCTATGCAGTTCAGGCTGGCCTTGAGCTCACTTTGTAGCCCAGGCTGGTCTCGAACTTGCAATGATCCTCCTGCCTCAGCCTCCTGAGTGCTGGGATGACAGGCATGAGCCACTACGCCTGGCTTCTTGTAATCATTAAATTCAAAATGTTTCAAAATGTTACCAATGAAGAGTGAAATTAAATTTTCTTATAAATAAGTAGCTGTAAATAGTCAAACACATACAAAGATGAGATTTTCTTCCCCAGAAGACTCTAATGTACTAGGAACTCTGCACAGTAAAGCAACCCAGGGCACCTGGCTCCCCACCACTGTCCTCCTCCGGCCTTGAGCACAGCAGTTACTAAGCTAGGGTTGCATTCAGAGTCTCCCTGCGGAATTCAGCAGCACAGTCACCCATGATGCTTGGCTCAGTGTCGGCCTCGGAACACAGAGTGCCTTTTGATTCCTTCCTGACTGAATTGAAAGATGCCCCAAGTTGAAGATGAACTGGTATAAGAGAGGAGGTGGTGGTGTCACGGTGTCTGGATGTCCACTCAAAGACTCATGAAAGCTTGGGGGCAAGCATTTCAGAGGTGGCTGAATCTGGAGTTTGCGGTTGATCCATGGTCCAATCACAGGACTACAGATGTGAGCGCCACACCCATCCTAGGCCAGGGAACCTGCATTGGATAGAAGGGACACAAAGAGTCTTCTTTCTCCTCTTGTTGCTTTTGCTGTCTTCCACTGCCAGGAGCTGTGGCCAGCCAGTTACGGACTGTTATGGACTGTGGCCAGCTGGAGCCAGCCAGTTACGGAATGAAACCTCTACAAACTGTGAGCTAAATAAACATTTCCCGCTCCAACTTTGGGTGCTGGGTATTTCATCTCAGCAATGAGAAAAGGAACTAAGACAGGTAGTTTAACAGCACATCAGAGGCTGCCAGCTATGGCAGTAAGAGACAATGTTGATGAGACGAATCATCACTGTAAAAGACCACAGAGCTAAGGAAAAAGGGCCAGGAGTCTAGAGACTGAAAGGTGTATTTCCGGTTGTCAATGTCAGATGACATCAGTGATAGTTTGGTGACCTCCTTTCTTTAAGGTACACAGCTTAACACAGATAAATGTACTATCGTTAAAATCATTTAGCAGGTAGGAAATGTCCACTGTACCCAGGACTCAATAAATGATAAAATAATTGAAAATTTACATGGCATTAATATACACAACTGACAACTCCATTACTAGGGTCAACCCTGTTTACTTGGAAGAAAGTGAAGCTTGAAGAAATTTTAGAACTTGCTCAAATGTACAAGTTAGTGAATTACAGGTCAATTTTTCAACCTCAGGGAGGATGGCTTGAGTCTATGCTCTGTTTTTTGTTTTGTTTTGTCTTTTTGAGATAGGGTTCACTATGCAGTTCAGGCTGGCCTTGAACTCGCTTTGTAGCCCAGGCTAGCCTCAAACACGGCAATCCTCCTGCTTCAGCCTCCCAAGTGCCAGCGTCTATGCTGTTAATCAAAAAGCAATGATAATTTTCTACAACCAGCAGGTACAGCTATCTGTGGAGTTGTCAGACTTAGCAAATAAAGTACAGAATATCCAGTTAAATTTGAGGGCTAAATGCTTATCTTTTAAGTATATCAAAAAAGGAAGCACCCCTTAAGTCATTTTGAAATGCATTTTATTAAATTATTTGTTGTTTATCTGAAATTCAAATGTACCTGGCCACCCATGATTTCTCTCGGGTGCAATGCCAGGAATGAAGGCAGGGTTGGATTATGCAGCTCTATGGTCTAACCTGTGCTTTGGATTTGTTGCACATTCAAAATTCCTGGCATGTTAGCACACGCCTATAATCTCAGTACTCTGGGAAGCTAAGGCAGGAGGGCTGCAAATTTGAGCTCAGCGTGAACAGTTGAGTAAGACTTTGAAAATAACTGTGGAAAAAAAAGGAGGGGTTGGGGATGTAGCTCAGTGCAAAGGCCCTGGGTTAAATCCTCAGTCCTAGAGAAAAGGAAAAAAATCCGCCTTCCTTTCTAGGCATTTTTTAGTGTTCTTCCTACTTGGAGCCTAATGAAAACAAATGGGTAAGATTTGCCTCTTGTTTAGATTCTTACAGTAACCCCAAGCCAAGACAGATGGCACCCCTAGACCCATCCTGTTTTGGAAGAGGATGTCAACTCTTACGCACATCCATCTCTAGGTAAAACCAAGCAATGGCAAACGCTATGTCCCTTGAACAAGGTTCCTTCCCTGAGCTGTAGAGGGACTGCTATTAATGCTATTAATGCCACCTTGTTCTACGCAAACTGATCACTGCACACAATAAACAAGGACCTAAGCCAAAGATACAGTCTGCCTCATTCCCTTTCCACCCACCAAGCCTTTAACCACCCAAGACACAGGAGCTCCAAGGCCTACGAGCTCCAGATGTAACCACCCTTTCCCCAAACTCTTAATAATCTGCTGTGTCAAGAGATATATTGTGAATTCTTGAATTTCACTAGACAATACAGATTCTGGTAATGAACTAACTCAGGAGGTACTCAGAGGAGGGTAAAACACCTCTTTTGGATTGCTCTACCCTAATCCTGAATCAACGATTGAGATCAGAACACAGAAATGACCGCTGTTCCTCTGAATTTCCTCAGAGGGTTCTCAAAGGCAGTATTATGGAAGACAACCGTTGAAAGACTTCCGTGGGAAACAGACCATGAGGCCCAATTCCACGCTGAGTCGCTAAAACTAAATTGAAAGAACAGAGATAAGACAATTTTAGATGTAAAGCAAACATTCTTTCAGGTGAGAATTAGCCTGACTAGGCACCTAAATAGCTCCCACCTTCTCCAGTGGGATGGACCCGGGAGACCTCAGCTGCTTGCTGGAGGGTGCTGGGTGGGAACTCCTGGCACCCCTTTAACACTCCCTTCCCGTCCTGAATAATTCAGGCAGAGCTCCGTCACCTCCTGCATGGCCCTTGGGACCAAAGGCATGGCCTACAGTTAATTTTCAAAATACTTGTAGATACGAAGCTATGATACGAAGAAACCAGAAAACAATGCCATCTTATTTAATGGCCCATGGAGAGACAGAGGGACGCAGCTGATCTTAACTGACTGGTCCCCAGACACTATGAGTTTTCACGGACCTGGGCCAAGAAGGACCAAAAGAAAACGGCACTGAATTTTTCAAAAGGCTCAGTTCAGCCCACATACAGGCTAGTTGTTGTCTTTTTTATTTCGTTTCCTTCTTGCATTTTGATAGTTAAAACAGTCTTTCTTTAAAGCACTGTACTGGTAGGCCTACTTTTATATGTTTATAATGGTCTTACTAGGACCATTTTCATAAGCGGTGAATTCCCCAAAATTGCCAACACTGCTGAGCCAGCTTCCCTGGCTCCACCATGGAGATGGCGCAGGGGGCGACATGTCTAGGTCACACACGAGTGAGGGGCTAGACAGGAACTTGAGCTTTGGCCCTAGCTCTGAGACCATTGTCCCACCATAGCCCACCAAGTCCTCGGGGACGGGCTGCTGAGGGCCAGACGTTACTCGGGATGGCCCCACACATGCCCTGAACTCCGGCTTCTGGATCCCTAATCAGAGGGTTAAAAATGCCCAACACATGTGGGTGTGGCCTCTGAGGAAAAGCAAGTGTGGAGAAACTGGACCAAAGGAGCCCAGAGAGCTCTGCACAGGAAAGTAGCTCCATCAGTCAAGCGGCAAGAAATGATGTCTTAGGATAAATAGCTCAAAACTCCAGGGCCACGTGGGAAAAAAAAGTCAGCATTTTGGAGGCAGGTTTTCTTCAAACAGAACCGAGAACTGTACATTCGGCCTGGATGTACTACTAGCCGATGGCTGTAGGCAGTGTGCTGATACTAAGTGTAGACAAGGGAAAACAAACACTTAGATAACGATGCTTCTTTCTGCCTTAATTAAGCACAGCAAAGGGGGAAAATCTTACTTCTAACAATGCTGGGCTGCTGTATTATTCCCTGCACGCTGAAGTGGTGGGTAGCGGAGGAGGAGATTTCCCACATTTCAGGGTGGATTCCTGAAACACCCCTCAGGGCCTCAAGGGTCCTCAGAGGTTTTGGCCCCTCTGTGCTACTGATGGAAATCTCATTCACGTAGGCTTCCCAGATCCTGAGTGGGTAGAAATCTCTAAAACAAAGTCATGAGGGGCCGAGTAACTCATTTCCTTGATAGAACACAGGACTACTCAGTCATTGATTCAAAGGCAGTCATTCATCAGCCCGCTTCTGTGAGTCACTGAAAAGTCCCGGACGAATTTAAAAAGCTCTTCAAGTCAACAAATCGTCAGTAAAGACTTACGACAGTGCACTGTGCTGAGATGGGTGTCAGAGAACAAGTGGAGGTCAAGGTTGTGGTCCCAGAGGGGGACAGGGGTGGACCCGGGGTGCTAGAACCCTGAGTAACCGCAGCGCTCTGCTCTAGGCTTAGCGTGTGTCATTTACAGGAGGGTGTATTGGTTCAAAGGCTCTCCCCAGCATGCTCTCTGCATATGAAACACAGTCCCTGCCCACAAGGCTTCCGCTGTCTCGGGGGGACAGAGTTTAGGGTACAGACCAAGGCAGTCCGAGTTGTAGGCAGGCTGACTGCAGATGCTTGCATCTTCTGTCTTCTCTCAGCCGAGATATCAAAAACCCTGTTTCTCTGTAAATAATGCACTGAGCATAACCCACACACCAAGGTTTTCATGGACCCATCAGGCCTTCACTTAAAACAGTTTTGTAGTCAAATGCATTTCAAATTTACAATTAAACTTTTGGAAGCAAACTCAGAAAAAATGATTAGAACGTCTAAACAATAATGTGAGCTGACTACTCGGCGCTGCTACACCAACAATCACCTCATGGGGACAGCTTATCATCGCTCCCGTTTTTGCAGACTAGGAAGCCAGGGAAAACAGACCACAGAAATTCCAAAGGTCACTGTGCTCTTTGGGGGCCAGGTGTGACCCCCAGTGGCCCAGAGGCACCCGTGCCACCACCCAGCCCTGTGTCCCCTCACCTGCCAGCTCCCATGCACCATCGAAGTGACTGAAAATTTCTGATGGTGACAAATCCAAAGGAAGCATATTTTTCAATGTTTTCCTTCCTTTCTTTTTCGTTTTCCTGGTGTTGGGGAGAGAAGCCAGGGCCTTGTGCATACGAGGCGAGCACTCTATTGCTCTGCTACACATCTAAGTTTTTGAATAACAATTCCAAGTAAACACAACTGTTCTCCTGTAGGTGAATTAAAGGAAACTGAGCACACATATCTGCAGCGAGGTCAGTACATTTCTATCTATAATGGACCAGAAAGTATTTTAGATTCGGACGGCGCTGGGAATGGAAGCCAGGGCCCTGTGTGTGCCAGGTTAAGTGTGAGCTACACTCCCAGCCTCGAGAGTGACCACTCCGGACTTCACAGTTAGAGGGAGATTTCAGCGCCCAGGCTTTGCGTGTGGGCATCGAGCAGCCACAGCCAGCCCATGGAAGGATGCGCTCCACTGCAATTCAGGAACGGGTGGGCAGGGTGTATCTGTGAGCCGTGCATTGCCCCCTCTACTCAACAGGCCACAATGCTAAGTTTACAACACAGCGATGTGCAGGTTAGCATTGTGAAAGAGTCGCTTTGAAATGTCTGTATCACACACACAAAAACAAGCACTGAGCACCTATGTGAATGAGCCTAATTGAATCGTTCCATAATATATATAGGGTTTGTCTCCTACCCCATGGGTGTAGCAATTATTTTGTCAACTTAAAAAATTTGCCAGGATGCTATTGTAAGATAGTGAACGAATCCAAATATTCAGTATTCCTTTAGAATTGAACTGCACAGCTACTTGGGAAGTTCCCTTGCAGTAAACAGGCGGCAGCACAGTATCAGGAAGAATGGTCCAGGCCCTCTGGAATAGCACTGCAAAGCGGTACTGCTTGGCGTCAGACTGATGGCTCCGGCATCCTGTGAATGTCCTGTCACTGAGTTCCAGGTGCTTCTACTAACAGAGAAACCATGCTAGAGACACAGAAAGAAGCTATGCACAGACCTCTTCCCCAAACCTTCTGGGTTAAAATCGACAATCTGTGTTAAATCAGCAGCTCTTTTCCTAGGTCATCCTTGATGACAACTCCTCTCGAGTAACAGCAGCTCAACTTTCTGCTAGGACAGATGTTCCCCAGATCTTCGTAGTGCTATTACTAACACTTAGGATAATTCTGCTACTATTTCTTCCCATGGTTGCACCAAACAAAACTCCTGAATCCTGCAGGGATTTAAGCAAACATTGCAGTTCTCTGTTTATAATGAAGCCAACCCATTTGAATCAAATTTCCATTCCACATTTTTAAGAGGCCTATAAAGAAATAGCATCTGGAAAGCTAAATTGAAACATAAAGAACAATTCAGGAATGTCAGGCATTTTCAATAGTTTGCTTCTTGTGCTGCCTTTGGTAAACATAAAGATGCAGGCAAGCTGGGAAATTCCCTCCCCTCCACCCCCTTTTTTTTTGTATCAGGAGATCTTTTTTTTAGTTTTGGCCTGAAATGTGCAATCAGGAAGCCCGGCAAAGCAGGGCGATCCCAGGTTGTAGACCGTGAGGACAGGGCAGCAGAACCTCAAAGGGACACTCCTGCTGAGCAAAGGCCCAGCTGCATCCTAACCTTACAGATGCCACGAAAATGATTCAGCACCACATCTGCCCTTGCACGGCTGGCACCAAGCAACATGGAAGTACAGAGCTCCCTCCCCAACGGTCATTCACATCCGTTCAGATGGTCAGTGACTCTCACACGAGTATAAAGCCACTGACACTCGGGTCACAGCGGGGTCCCCTGGAACTGGAAAAGGATACGAAGATGTAGTCGTCCATGTATCTCTTCTTCAGGTTCTCCACGATGGAGCTCTCAGTGATCTTGGAGAGCAGCACCATGTCGTCCACGCCGCTATGCTTGACGTTGTGGCTCTGCCAGTGATAGCGGTAAGCACCTTTGCTCCCCTGGGGACAAAACCACATGACCGTTAGGACACTACGTATCCTCTCTGCAGGGAGAAAACACACCGCAGACCCTTTTGTGTCCCGAATACCCACCCAAGTGAAATGCAGCAGACTCAGCTTCAAATTTCAGCTGTGCCAACTGCAAACAAGTGGGAGAAATTACCCCAACCCACTGTGTCACTTGGTATAGTGAGGATAAGCAGAGTCGCTGGGGGGGGGGCCGGGGGGGGTCACATAAAATAGCACCCGCATCACTTGGCCAGCAGCGGGGGAGCACAAAGGACACCTCGGATGCCTCCAAACTCTTACTGTTCAACTGAGTTCCCGGTAAAAATTAGTAAAGAGAGGGAAGCGAGAGCTGGGCTCACTTTGCAAATTTAGAAGGACTGTGTATCTGGCAGTGGCAAGGTCCCACTGCCACCACCTCTCAAGTCACCTGGAGCACTTTCCACTCACAGATTGGTCCCAGACATCGTAGTGCTGGCCTTTTACATTCAAAAGATGCACAGTCACTGCTGGGCGAATAGGAGGTGGACAGGAGGTGGGGGACACCACCTCGTCCCTGGGCTTCATTGAGTGGAGGAGCCCTCAGCCCTAGACTGTTCTGGGGACTTATGGCTTAGCCTGGATGCTCCTGTACGTGGTGGGCTGCAGGGCATCTCTGGATGGGATACCTGTGTGTCCCGGGGCTGTGGTGCAGGGAGCCCCCCAGGGACCTCACTTGAGTGGTCACCATGCCCCGAAGGATACCCACCCACATCATGAGGGTTAGTGGCCCATTATCATGCACTGGACCCAGCGAGGGAGGACCCTGTTCCTCCATGGGGTTCCCTGCTGAGTTGTTTAGGTGAAGGAGAGGAAACTTCTGAGGAAGGACATTTAGAAAGTCATCTGCTCAGACACCAAAACCAGGAGGAGGAAAGGCGATAGGGGATCTCTGAAAGGAGGTGGTGGAAAGAAACAAGGTAGAAGCCACCTTGACATTTCATTTTTAAAAATTTGCTACATTATTTAGTTCTTTGCTAAGGACAAATTCTAAAAGGCTCTGGAGAAAGTAATCTAAAAAATCAGCCAGAAAGCGGCTGTCACAGGAAAAGTGAACTAGTCCTGGGCTTCTGCTATGGAAGGTTCTGGAAAGTTCTGGAAGGTTCTGAAGGCATGCTGCCATAAAGCCTAGCAGAAGGAAATTGCCTGCACAATAGAGTTGGCTCTCTCAGAACTATACACAGTGTCAATTCTATAAAATTACTTAGGGTTAGGGTTAGAATGCTCCCGTCCTGGCTTTGGGATCTTCTTTAACCCATTTTCCAGCCTTCCCACAACAGTGGAAGGAACCAGCAGGGTGACCGAGTGGCTACCACATAAGGGGCTGACCCTGGGTGGCCTGACCTCCAATTCTTTTGCTCTACAGTGCTGAGAAAGTGGTACACTCAGTAGAAGTCATGCTTTCCACTCGGGGTGCTGAGGATCTGCGGCTCCTACTTGGCCTGGATCACAAGGGAAAGCAACCCGTACTTTGTATACCCTGCTGCCAAGCCAAGGTATTCCTAGGTGAGGTGTAGTAAACGCACCTCCAATGTACAGTGCTTTCAAGTGACGCCAGGTAGCTCAGACATCAAGAAGCATCATGCAAGGCCATGAGCTATTTGACTGCTGGAGGACAACCTGTGTCTCCTTCCAAACGGTCAAATGGGTGACCTTTCCATGTCACAGTGGAGGAAACTGACACCCTCTTTCCCCCCAAAATAAGGCTTAGTGGGAAAATAATCAGCCTTAAAAACCTAGAGACTAGCAGGCTCATCAGCCCGTCCCTGCCTTGCACATGTCTGTCTGTCTGTTTGTCTCCCTCCCTCCCCGAGGCACCCAGAGTTTCTTCTGTGAACTCAGTCTTCTCCACCAGCCCTCACCCACAGGCTGCTACCCAGCCCAGGACAACTTGTAGGTGCCTCCAGTGAGGCACAAAGCTGCTTTGTGCAGCTTGGTAACAGCACAACCCCTCCAGAGCGCTTCCTCAAATGATAGCCACTAAGTCAAAGAGTGAAAAAAAAAAAAAAAAAAAGTCAAAGAGTGAGCGGGGCTCAGGACCCCAAAGGGCCACCCCCCAGCCTCCGGGCCGCCACTCCCAGCCCAAAGCCCTGGAAGCAGGGGCTGGAAGTTGTGGACACCCACTGCTGCCTTAGATGTGTGAGCATGAATGTTCCGGGTCCGGTTCTGGTTGGTGGGGGGAGGGATAACCTCAACCATGGGGGTCTTTGGTTTCTGCCTCCCACTCCTACTCCCTCCCCAGGTGAGGAGCAGAAGTAGGGGACGCCCCACCCCCCACGCCACCCCTGGATGGAAATTTCTGCATGGTGTCATCTGTCCCGTTGCCTCAAGAAAAGCCACTGCTGGTTTCTGTGGGCTTCTTTTTTTGGTAACTCCTTCGGCTTCTCTCACTAAAAATGGCAACAGTTTTAAACAAGGAGATGCTCTGAAAGGTATTATTCCACCCTTCAGTGGCCGTGGAGATGGCAGGCTGCCACTCCAGGCCACTATGAAATGAAAACAGCAAGGAGGGGACCATGAAGTACTGAACGTCGCCCTGCCAGCCCCTGTGAATCACGAGGGAGAAGTCCCCACGAGAAAAGGGGTTCTGAAGCGCAGACCTTCTGGGACCCTCATGAAGCTTCCAGTGAAAATCCAGTTTACTGCAAAGTAACTGGCTGGCTGTGGGGGTGCACACCTGTAACTCCAGCTCCTTGGGAGACGCAGCCTGGGCGGGTGGGACCCTGCCTCAACAGGGCTGGGTGTGTAGGTCAGCAGTTAGAGCACCAGCCTAGCACTCAAAAGGTCCCAAGTTCAATCCCCAGTACCATAACGGGAGGAAAAAAGCAACGATTCACAGACGAGAGCCAGAAAGTGGAGTATGGCCATATCCACATAATGGCTCTGCTTGTCACCCTTTGGAGCTGGCACCCAGGCCGGAGCCTCCCTGGAGCCTGCCTCGGGGTGGGAACCTCACCGCCTGATTCTGACCAGTTCAAGGTGGAGCCTTCAAACTGGAGTGTTTACCAAGGCAGGAACAGGAAGCCAAAGGTGAGTCAGCGCCCACAGGTGGCATTCCTTTGTCCCAATGCCCTGCCCTGCCCTGCCCAGGACAGCAGCCTGCCAAAGCCCCTTGCAGGTCAGATTGCCAGAGGACCTCAGCAAACACAGTCAGTGTTAAGCCTCCTTAGAGACCCCACAACAGTGGCTGTTAAATGCACAAACACACCAGCTGCGGTGTCAGTGGGACCAGCGAGCACCCAGGTGACCGACCACAAACATTTGTTTTAGGAGTTACCTCAAGAAACACCTGGAAGCTTGGCAGATGGCTCACTGTGACCTGGGAAGCAGGACCCCAGCTAGGAACTGGTTAGAACATGAAAATGCGGTCATGAGGGAGGCTTGCACGTGCTGACCGAGAAGTAAGATTCACCGTTTGAGGAAAAAAGCAATCCGTCCACAGCAGGAACGTAAAGAACTGTGATGGTAAACAGTTTTTAAAAGACATGTGTATTAGTCAACTTTCTGTCACTGTGACAAAATGCCCAAGAGAAACAACCACTAGAAGAAAGATTCATCTTGGCTTGGACTTCAGGAGTGCCAGTCCACGGTTGGTGGTTAGACCGGAGGCCAGGCTGAACATCATGGCAGAGCTCATGGGGCAAGAGAGCTGCTCATCTCATGATGGCCAGGAAGGAAAAAAGAGAGAGAGAAACAGGGTGGAAACAGGAAATGTACCCCTGCCCCCAGAGTACATCCCCAAATACTCTACCCTGAAAATAAGCCCTAGCTGCAAAATAATCAGGCTTAAAAACCAAAGAACAAACGTGGCAGCCCCGATCAGCCCATCCTTGCCTTACCCACCTTACAGAGCAGAGTGACGGCGGGTGAGGCCAGGATGGGCTAACTGGGGCGGGTATTTCTGATCTTTAAGTTTTCAAGGCTGATCGTTTTCTGGTTAGGTCTTATTTTGTAGGAAACACAATAGGGCCTACCTCCTAAATTCCTATCACTTTACAATAGCCTATCAGATTATGAGCCTATCAGTGGATTAATCCTTGTGACTTAACCACTAGCTAACAGCCCCCTCTTTGAGCACTGGTACATTAGGAGGAACGTTCAACACAGAAGCCCGGAGCACATCTCAGGGCAAACCCCAACAGTCTGTGTGCGGCAGCTATTTTGCTAAAAGAATGCAAGGACCTATGAGGAGGTCTGGGGTTTTAGTCAGAAGGTGACTGACAGGTATTTTCTGTTTATATTTTTATGTACAATTTGCATTTTTCATCATACGCACATTACAGGCTGTGTATCCTTATCTTCATTGGCTGGGTTTGGCAGTGTTTTGGATTTTGGCCTTTTTCAAACTTTGGGATAGCTGCATATACATAAGATATCATGGTGATGGGACTCAAGTCCAAAGATAAAATTGATATTTCTTATACACACCACCGAGAGGTAATTTTATACATTATTTTTAGTGTGTCTGTGTTTTGATTATGACCTGCGGAAGGAGATGGGTGTGGAATTTTCCACTTGTACAGTCATGTCGGTGTTCAGACAACTTAGGGTTTTGAAGCATTTTGATTTTCACATTACAAATGCTCTATATCGGTATTTAAAAATAAATAGAAACCACGAGAACAATGGCAACAGAACCGAGCATTTTTGAGGTGTATTAGGTACCGACCAGACCCGAGAAGCCAAAAGCCAGGACCACATTTTCAAGACCAGGTTCTATGCTGCTTCTAGATCTGAAATGCAGCTGGGAAGATGCCATCTAGACTATAAAATAGTATCGCATGGAGCACCTTTGACCGGCTGGTGGGCACCAAAGGATAAAAGGAGTAATTTCCAGAAAATCTGGGCCTGGAATGTCACTGAGCAGATAATCCATTGCCTCTTTGTGGGAACTGGGCAGCGGCGATGCTCTGGCCAGCAGCCGGCCTAAGTGGACTTTCAACTGGGGCTTTTTT